TCCGACTCCGACCGTAACGCCCGCGATTCTGCGGGCGAACGCCGTAACAAGCGTCGGGCAGAAGACGGACCTTCCGCCCCGACTGCAGTGGACGTGCTGCTGGGCGGGCTCGAGGTCCACAAAAACGCCGAAACCCAGCAGCACCCTTCGGTCCCTGTGGCGCCAGTGGCGCCTGTGGCGCCAGTGGCACCTGTGGCGCAAGTGGCGACGGGGACTGGCGCGGCACACGCGACTGACGCCGAGCACACGCCAGCACCCGCTGCTGGACCGTCGCGTCAGCGTCAGAGGAGGCGGACTGCAGTCTCCTCGTCTGACGCGACCGCCGCCCCTGCGCTGACGCAGGCGTTGACCCCGGACCAGGTCAACGCGCTGCTGTCCCTTCTACAGCAGCAACCCGTCAGCGTTACAGCCGCGGAAACTGCACTACCCGCCGCATCTGCGTCGGCTAAAAAAGAAACTGCAAAAAAAGGAGAAAGGCACACGGGGAGCACGGACGAACCGGCATGACAACGACGCAGCGTCTGCCGCTCCCCCTGCTCCAGCGGTCGACAACGACACCGACGACTCTGAAGATGAAGCCGGAGCACGACGGTGCGAGGCGGCATGCCACGACGATCTGTACGAATTTGCCGTTACAGACAGAACTATTACACACATGCGCGGTCGTCTTCGCGCGACATTTGCGTGGTGGAGCTCATGGTGCCCCAGCAGCCTTGTCCTCTCCGTCATCGCCAAGGGTTACTGGTTGCCATGGAGCCACGGCCCACCGCAACATTTCCACGATCGCAATCATGTCGGGGCAAACACGCGTGCCACGTTCACACGTACCGCCATCCAAGAACTCATAGAGACGGGAGCGGCAATTCCGATGGCCGCAACGGAGCTTACATGCATAAGTCCACTCAACGTGGTCGAGCAAAAAGACAAATGCAGGCTCATTCTTGATCTGAGGAAAGTCAACGCCAACTTGATCATCCCCAAGTTCAAGTACGAAGGGCTCAGCCGCGTCGCCGACCTTGCGCGCGTTGGGGACTGGATGTTCTCCATTGACCTCAAATCTGGTTACCACCACATCGACATCCACCCATCGTGCTGGAAGTTCCTTGGCTTTGAATTTGATAAGCGCACATACGCATTCCGTTCACTACCATTTGGCCTCGCGACAGCTCCATTCGTTTTCACGCAGCTCATCAAGCAACTAGCTCGGCGTTGGCGAGAACAAGGCATCCGAGTCGTACCTTACGTGGACGACATCTTATTCCTCTGCCAGTCGAAAGAGGACGCGCAAGCAACTTGCCAGCGGGTGATATTGGATCTTAAAGAGGCATGCCTTGTGATAAACGCGAAGAAATCACAACTGTCACCATCGCAGCGTCTCCGATTCCTGGGCGTAGAACTCGAGACCGATACCGGCCGATTCTCCATCGGTCCGGACCGACGAGCCTCACTACATGCAACCATCCGGAACCTCCTGAGCGCAAGCAAGGCATGCCGACCAGTCCCGGTCCGCCACGTGGCCAGAATCACTGGCATGCTCGCATCGATGGGTGTCGCACTTGGCGCGACAGCTCGCGCATTCAGCCATGCTATGTTACAAGTGATCGACGACGCACCGTCATGGAAAAGCAGCGTCGTTATCCCCCCATCTGCAGCAGAAGAGCTCCAATTTTGGCTCGAGGAGTTCGACCGTTTCAACGGCGCACCTTTTCACGTCAAGAACAGCTACGACGCGGTAATCCACGTGGATGCCAGCTCTCATGGTTGGGGCGCCACTCTGACCACATTTCCGGGTGGCATCGAAGAAGCTAGCGCAACCATGTCAGAGCCGCTACGAGGAACGTCCAGCACGCGACGGGAGATCGAAGGCGTCCTTTGGGCGCTACAAACGTACGCGAACAAGATCAAGCAAAAACACGTTCTCGTGCGGGTGGACAACCAGGGCGTATTCTTCATCCTTCGCAAAGGCGGCTCTCACAGCCCCGACCTCACAACGGCATGCAAGAGCATCATCCGAACATGCATGGCGCTTGGCACGCGCTTGATCATTGAATGGATTCCGCGCGAGCTCAACACACACGCCGACGAGCTTTCAAAAATGGTCGACCACGACGATTACGCGCTGAAAACGCCGTGGTTCCGGATCTTGGAACGTCGTTGGGGTCCTCACTCCATCGACCTTTTCGCAAACTCCCGCAACACCCAACTGCCGCGCTTCTGTTCAAAGATTCCCCACCCGGCAGCCACTGCAGTTGATGCGTTCTCGATCGCGTGGACATCTGAAAACAACTTCGCCTTCCCCCCACCTCAACTGGTCCCAGCCGTCCTCCATCACGCACAACGCACCCATGCATCACTCACACTGATAGTTCCGCACTGGCCAGGCGCAAGCTGGTGGCCACTCTTGCAACCCTCCCCACGCACTTGGGCACCACACATCCACGCGCACATCCCTCTGACACACGGAAGCCAATGCCTAGACGTAGGGTCCCATTCAACTGCTTTTTCGGGCATGGGACTACCGCACAGCCCAATCATTGCACTGCGAGTGGCATTTGACTAATTCAAAATATATACACCTTGTGTTCAGATTTGCTCCCAAAGTTACACGACCAACTGATCAACATGCTCGCGCAGTCCCGCGCCGATTCTACGATCCGGACATATGAACCATACTGGGCCAAGTTTCGAGCCTTCTGCACAAAAGTGAACCTTCCATTCCTCCCGGCATCCGACATGACCCTCGCGCTATACCTGGTACACGCAATCCGACGCAAAGCCACCCTGTCCGTAGTGCAGCTAACCTGCTCGGCGGTCAGCTTCGCCCATCGCATGACCGGGAGCAAATGCCCGACAACCGGACCGTTCACCACCCAAGTCCGTGACTATGCAAAGCGACACTGCCCACGCCCTACTCGTCTGAAGGAACCCGTCTCGATCCAACAAGTCCAGGAAATGGCCGCGAGCTACTTGCAGTCCGACGATCCTGCGCAATTTCAGAAAGGGTTGATACCCATCCTCATGTACTCCGGATTCCTGCGATACTCTGACCTAGTAGCCATAAAATGGCAAGACATCCAATTCGACGACGAGGTCATGTGGATTCTCATACCACACTCCAAGACCGATCAAGCTGGTCACGGCACTTGGATACCCATTGCAGCAACGGCGGACCCCTGCTGCCCAGTGCGCTGCACCCGACGCTTCATCCGACTCGCTGGCTATGGCCCACGGTCAGAGGGACCATTGATTCGTGTCTTCGGTCACGGTTCAACCAGCGAGGGCCAGGCTAGGCCACCTTCATACACTACGATCCGGAACTGGTGCAAGGAAGCCTTCGCAAAGGTTGGCCTTGGAGAGTTGCAGCTAGGCACCCATTCTTTCCGAAAAGGTGCAGCCACAGTAGCAGCCAACACGGGAGTGCCAGACAGAGTCTTCAAACGGCTGGGCAGATGGCGAAGCGACACAGCAAAGGAAATGTATGTTACGCCATACGTCGAGCCCCTCATCGAAGCCTCCCGTACCCTACAAGATTCGACGCATGCGGTGTCATCGGCGCAACACACAGAGGCACTCGTACGCAACCGGAGGCCCCCGCTGCCCATGTCTCAGAGACCCCATTTGTAATGAGAACGATGCCAATTGATAAGAAAGAAAGCAAGCTTTCTCAATATTATAATTTTTAAACACACATGTAGTGTTTTTTAAAATTGTGTATTGTGAAAGCGAAGCTGCTTGTACTGCACAATTGGCATCGTCGAAGCGCGCTAAACGCCCTTCTCCAACTACAAAAACCGTGGGTTGGAGCTCATTTCCCTCCACCCACGTTTCTCAATTTTCAAACGGCTCACTCAACATTCCCACCACCCACCCCAGTGTAAACCGCCTTGCTAATGCCACTTGGATAGGGTACACAATAGCTAGTGTTATTAGTCCGCACTAGCTTATGTCGAACGATGATGCAAATGTTGTAATACGCCATTTGTAATGAGAACGATGCCAATTGATAAGAAAGAAAGCAAGCTTTCTCAATCATTGTTTCACAACAACCTCCAGAGACTGAGCAATCGAAGTGCCTTCAAACTAAAACAGGGAGAAAATCTTTCCATCAGGGAGCCTAAACTTTGAAACGTCAGCCCTGACTGGACGTCGATCCGCGTCGCCCCGCCCGCTGGTTTCGTCGGACACCAGATCTGAGGAATCCCATGTAGAATGCTCCCTGGTCTGCGCACCTAGGATTGACCTGGTCCGTACCCAGGATTGTCTACACATACCGGTACCTCTTGGGGTACATTCAAAACTAAGATTTGGACATGCGCGATTATTGCCAACAAATCAGCTCAGCCCTAACTGGGAGCGGTTGATGGCTGCGACTTGTGAAGGGCTGACATGTCCGTCATATGGCACAAATACCATATTCTCCCGGATAAAACACCCCCCCGTAATTGTACACCCCCGGGTAGCTTATACGGGGTGGGTGTTATATCCGACCCCGTTAGTACTATACCCCCCCTTTTTGGGGTGATTCTCTATAACACTCCCCTTTTCTTATAGATTCCTATTATAGCTGTTATCGAGTCCGATTCCTTACGGGAGGATATCGCGAAAATCACTCCCTATCAGACAATCTTGAAGTGAAGTCAGACCCCTGATTCTGTTTCACATCTTTTCTGTTTTATAAAAAATATACCATATCATAAGACCTGGGTATTATAAAGGATTTTCCTTTGAGGAGACCCCCCCCCATTTTTTTCCAGTGGTTTTCATAATACTCTAGGGTGTTTTATCCGGGAGAATACGGTACCCTAGGGTGTTTTATCCGGGAGAATACGGTACCAGTCAGTGAATGCCACAAAAATTGAGAGCCTTGGGTTCCATTCAATTCCATTCCACCCACATGAAGTCAACAACCTGTTGTCTTTTCTGACCAAACCATCCTCCAGCCACACAGGCTCAGCTGGACTCACCCAAGCGCTCAGCTGCAGGCGCACCAAACTGGCATCTCAACTGCCCACTCTGCTGTGCCTCTCACCCTCCTCTCTGCCACCCAAGCCCCCTGTTGTCCCCACCTCCCCTGAATGGGCCTGCCCCTGCACCACCGCTGTGGGAGCTTCCTTCCACCCATGCGCGCCGCAGCCCACCCACCGCTCACGCAAAGGGGCCTCGGGGACAGGCAGCAGTGGCAACGGCCCCACCACCATCACAGCTGCCCCGCCCTTACCGCCCTCAACCTGCCCCGCACGGGCAGCCTCCCTCACACCTGCCGACCCTGAGCGATCCCCGCAAGCCGCCTCATCCCCGCCTGCGTGGCTCCCGTGCTCACACTCCGCTACATCACCCGACGCCGTCCCCACGCCGCCATGCCCACTCCACGCAAGGTCACCCGGCAGCACACACTGCTCTCCCTGCGTTGCCTCGCACACCTCATCCGCACCTCCTCTCCCCACTCGCCCTGCTGCTGCACACTCAACTCCACTGCTCACTGCCCCCTCTATACCACCCTCTCCTCCTTCACACCCGTGTGCTGCGTCCCTCTCCCCCACCCCAGTGTGACATGTGGCTGCTGCCCTGTCCTCCCCCACCTGATGCCTGCACGTGTGTGAGCCTCCCTCCACATGCCCATTCACCACATACATCACACTCGCACACCCCTCCAACCCACCGCCTCTCCCCTCATCCCCCTCGACTGTCCTGTGCACACCCAGCTTCCCCCCACATCCCTCCTCCCTGAGTCTTTGCCTGCCTCGCCCCTCCCCGCTAGTCTCATCTCCACCTGATTCACTTGCTGCCTGCATCGCCTCTCCTTCACATGCGCTGCTCCACTGCCCTCCACCCCACTGCACCCCATCCACTTGCATGCGCACCGCATCACTGCTCCCCTGGCAGCTGCCGCCACCAGCCATGTGATTGTGTACACCCATGCTGCCACGCCCCTCCACTACCCCGTCCACCTCAATTGCTGCATGCAGCTCCCAGCCCATTCCTTCCCTGCTGGTCTCTTCACTCTCCTTCGTCCCTCCTCCCATGCTCCACACGTCCCCACACCCCTGCCCACCCTCGCCCTCGTGCTCATCAGAGAGCGGTGGAGCAGGGATGGGGGCGAGTGCAGCGCGGGGTGGTTGGAGGGAGTCAAGTGTGGACGGCACGGGGGGGGCTGGGCTGCTAGGGCGAGGGCTGTCATCATCGCTGCCACTGAGGGGCTCTGAGATGGTGACCTCAGCATGCGGGAGAGTGATGTCAGCAGGCTCGTGTGTGACAGAGGCAGCCCGCAGGGAGAAGTGTGGCGAGGGCAGCAGGCTGAAGCTGCACCCCTCCTCGCCCAGCGTGACATCAGCGCGGCGCAGAGTGACGTCAGCACGGCGGTACGTGACGGCTGCTCGCTTGGCCACCGACGAGGGCGACGGGAACGACGAGGGCGACGGGAACGACGGCCTCAGCGCCACTGGGCTGCTGCCCGCCCGCTGCTGCTGCTGTGAGGGGGAGGACTGAGGAGGAGATGTGGGAGGAGAAAGAGGGGGGCTTGCCTGCTGTGGATGGGGGGCGGTTGGCGGCACAGGCAGCAGCATGGGAGGCGGGCTGGTAGGCGTGGCAGGGGGAGCAGGTTGAGCAGCACATGGAGGCGGCGGCAGGGGCACACACCCACCTGATTCTCTCCACCCATCGCCACTCACACAAGCTGCTGCATGCCCTCCTGCACACCCCGCCCCAGCACAACCCTGCCCGCTGCCACAATTCTGCACTGCATCACCCTCGCTGCCATGCTGCCGCCCTCCATCCACCAACCCTGCACTCCCCTCTCCACCATCCCCAGCACCTCCCCCACTGCCCCTCACCCCACCCTCGCCATCCTCCCCACCCTCTTCACCCTCCCCACCCTCTTCACCCTCCCCACACGCTTCACCCTCCCCATGGCAATGATGCCCGTCCAGGCATTCACCCGGAGCTGCACTGTCAGCACGCGGAGAAGCAGCAGCAGCAGGAGAGGCAGCAGGAAAGGCAGCTCGAACGGCATCAGCATCAGGAGCAGCAGCAACAGCAGCATCAGAAGCAGTTGCAGCGGCAGCAGCAGCAGCAGCAGCAGCAGCAGGAGCAGAAGCAGCAGCAGGAGCAGGAGCAGCAGCGGACGCAGCCGCAAGAGGAGCAGCAGGAGGAGGTGATAGGGGCGGTGGGGGATATGCATGGACTGCAGTGACGGCTGGCAGAGTGGCTGGTGGACGAGCGGCATCAACGATGTGGTGGGGAGGAACAGGGCGCATGGCAGGGGGCATGGCAGGGGGCATGGGAGAGGGCATAGCGGTGGGCAGGGCTTGAGCAGCACGGAGGAGAGCGAGGCAGTGGCAGGCGCGCTCCAGCGCCGCATCAGCTACCTGCTGCACCTCGCTCGCCCTCGCCCTCGCTGCACCTGCCCTCGCCCTTGCACTCCTCGCCCTCGCCCTCGCCGCCTCAACCTCTGCCTCCGCCTCCACCCCTTGCCCCTCCTCCCCTCGCCCCTGCACCCCTTGCCCTTCCACCTCTCGCCCCTCCTCCTCTCGCCCTTCCACCTCTCGCCCCAGCCCCTCACTGCCTACGGCTGCACATGCTGGGTCCCGTGCTGCAGACGGAAGCACGGTAGGAGGGCGAGGGGGACGAGGCCATGGCACGTGGGGAGGCAGGCGGAGCGGCGAGGCAGGGAGGGAAGGAGCGGGGGTGAGGGGCACGGGCAGGAGGAGCAGGCGGACAGGGGACAAATCGGCCATGCTGGGTCTGCCAGGGCGCCAGGCAGCGGCGCTGCCCGCGTGCCCCCCACTGCCTGCTGCTCGCCACGACCGCTGTCGCTTGCGGTGGTACACCACCGTGCCCTTGCCCGCCCCTCCACCTGCCCCATCCTCCACCTCTCCGTTCATTACGGCAGCACCGCCGCTCTCTGCTCGCGCCTCTCTGCTTACCGCCCCGCACCACTCTTCATCTTGAGCACCCTGCCCAGCACACCCCAGCACCTGTGCGCTCACTGCACCCTCGGCCACTATGGTGTGTGCCTCGCCCCCCCCTCCTGCTGCCACGGCGCCACCACTGCCACGCACGCCAGGCGCCGCTAGTCTGCTCGCCCGAGGCAGCAGCCTGTCACCCACAAACCGCCTCCCCCCCGCGCTGCTGCTGCCTGCGTGAGCGTGTGCGTCGAGACCTGCTGCCTGCACCTCTGTGCCACTCACCGACCTGTCTCCACCCACTTGTGTGCGCGCTGCCTCGCCTGCCAGCCCCTCCGCCTGCCCTGCCCACCCCACGTGCTCATGTGTCTGCTGCAGCACCCACATTGCCCGCGCCCTGCGCCTTCCCCTCCCTCCTGCACCTGCCCTCGCCTGCGCCGTACCGCTCACCCCAGACGGCAACGGTCTACCGTCCGCCCTGCACTGCGCCCACTGCCCCACGCCCGCACCCCTCGGCGTTGCACCCCTGCCCTCCTCCCCTGGCGCCGCCACGGCAGCAGCTGCTGCTGCTGCGTGCGCGATTCCATTGCGTGCGCCACCCTTATTGCCCGTGCGCGCGTGCGCCAGAGACAGCAGCTCTGACCGCACGCCCGCCACTCCACTCACCTGCTCCGCGTCGCCCTCGCCCCCTCTGCTCCCGCCCCTCCCATGCTCCCACTGCTGCCCTGCCCCTGCCTCCACCAAAGCCGCGTGTGCAGGGGCGCCGCTCTCGGTGCGCGCAGCAGCGGGGGCGCCACGCAGCCGTGCAGCCACCACGGGAGCGCCGGGCAGCTGGTGCTGCGCCTGCGCGGAGGCAGCAGGCAGCGCAAGGGGCCGCGCAGCAGCACCGTGTGGTGGCGTGGGCGCTGCTGCTTCGTCCCCGCCCGCCCCGCTCAACCCCGCGCTGCCCGTCAGCTGCACGCCCCACGCAGCCCGCCCCCTTGCGTGCCTCGCCTGCTGCTGCCTCAGCAACTGCCGCATCCCCCCCTCGCCCCCCCCGTACACCTGCTGCTGCGCCAGCGGCAGCGCTTGCGGAGAGGCATCCAGGGGCGCGGGCTCCGGGGTGCTAAGACGGGGACTCAGGCGAAAGGCGAAGGGGAGGGGCGACCGCGGCGAGGTGGTGGTGAGGCGAGGCCACGCTGTGGGCGAGGGGCGCGCGGACGAGGGGTGCGCGCGAGATAAGTCGCCATGCGGCGCACTCACCCCCTCGTGGCCTGCGCCAGGGAAAGACTCTGCTGCCCCGCCTGCTGAGCCACCTGCTGAGCCGCCCCTGCTGCTGCCCTCCGCCTCCTCGCCTCCCAGGTCTGCAGTGGGGGGCACAGGCGGGCGAGCAAGCGCATGGCAGGGGGAAGGTGCGGGGAGTTGAGGGAGAGCAGGGAGTGGGGAGACGGCGTGGGGCAGGGCGGAAGGGCGAGGGGGAAGGCTGGGCTCACCTGCTCGGCACACCACGCGGCGCTTTTGAGTCGACTCAAAAGTCACCTAGTTGGACTCACCTGCGAGGCACACCACGCGGTGCTTTTGAGTCGACTCAAAAGTCACCTAGTAGGACTCACCTGCGAGGCACACCACGCGGCGCTTTTGAGTCGACTCAAAAGTCACCTAGTTGGACTCACCTGCGAGGCACACCACGCGGCGCTTTTGAGTCGACTCAAAAGTCACCTAGTTGGACTCACCTGCGAGGCACACCACGCGGCGCTGCCTTTTTGCCGCCACCAGCCCCACCAGCCCCTCCGCGCCCTCTCGCCGCCCCCCCTGCTGCGCCTCGCCCACGGGGAGCGCCTCTGCGTGGGCCGCCACGCCCCCCCCCACCCGGGGGCTGCTGCCTTCCGCACTGTCCGCAGCAGAGCCGCCCCATGCGCCTGCGCCCGCCACGTGCTCCGCGGAGGCCGGCGCGCGCTTGGTGGAGCGCGGGCGCGAGGGGAAGGGGGCCCTGCGCGCGTGGGCGCGTGGCTGCAGGCAGAAGGCAAAGAGAGGCGGGCGGGGGATGGCGGGCACGCGCTGCTGCGCTGCACTGCCAGGGCCAGGGGTGATGGGGGTGCTGAAGGGAATGGGTGAGGGGAAGGGAGAGGAGGCGGCCGGGCTTCTGGGAAGGCGCACAGGAGTGGATACACCTGCTGCTGCCTCGGCACCTGGTGCTGCCGTGCTGGGTGCGTGCTGGCCGTGGGAATCCCGCTGCTCGTGTGTGACTGCTGCACCAGGGGACACCTGCCCCTGCTGCCCTGCTACCGCACGCCCCGCTCCTCCCTCCTGCTGCTGCTCCCCTCCCTCCGCTTGCTGCTGCTGCGAGAGGTCGTGTGGTGTGCTCTGCAGCGCGACACCACTCTCCCCCTGCCTCGCCACGCCACCCACCCCCGCTCCCTCGCCCGCCCTCTGCTCCGCTGCTGCCTCCGCACCTCCTGCTGGCTGCCCCGGGGCCCACGGCGCGGACTTTTGAGTCGACTCAAAAGTCAGCTGCCCCGGGGGCCACGGCGCAGGAGACGGAGCGAGGGGTGTGGCCTCGCGGGCTTGCAGCAGCTGCAGCTGCCGCTGCCACTCGTTCACCTGCGCCTGATACACCTCCCATGGGGCGCGCTGCAGCGGGGGGGCGTTGCGTGACACGGGGGAGGAAGAGGGGGACCGGACAGGGAGGGAGGGACACAAGTTGAATGAGAAGGCAAGCTCGTGGGTGCATGCAAGAGAAAAAAAAAAGGCTCCTGGCCGACAAGCCAGATAGGCAGCAAGAGAAACGAGCCTGCTCGGGGCAAGCCGCAGGCAGACATGAGGGGCGCGGGCAGACATGGGGGGCGCGGGCTGCGTGCTGCAGGGTGGTGGGCGGAGGGCAGCGGGCTGACCTGGAAGTGGCGGCAGAGGGCGGTGCCCTTGCGCGCGCGCTTGGTGCGCCAGTGGTGGAAGACGGCGCGCACGGCGTCTGGCGGCGCCAGGTGCGCGCAGCAGCGCAGGGCGTGCGCCTCGGAGAGCAGCGAGCGCGCAGCGAAGGCCTCCTTCTCCAGCTGGTCCATAACCCTCTCCACCTGCCCCTCGCTCATCGCCAACGCTCCTCCCGCCACTTCCCCATCACTCCCTCTGCCCTCACACGCGCCACTCTCAACCCTTTGACCCGCCGTCTCTGCCCCTGCCTGCCCATTCCCCCCTGCCTGCCCATTTCCCCCTGCCTGCCCATTCCCCCCTGCCTGCCCATTCCCCCCTGCTTGCCCATTCCCCCCTACCTGCCCCTCTCCCCCTGCCTGCCCCTCTCCCCCTGCCTGCCCCTCTCCCCCTGCCTGCCCCTCTCCCCTTGCCTGCCCCTCCCCCCTGGCCTGCCCTTCCCCGCCTGCCTGCCCTTCCCCCCCTGCCTGCCCTTGCCCCCCTGCGCGGCGGAGGGTGCGGGGGAGCGCGGAGAGGAAGCGCTCGTCGTCGGAGTCGAGGTCGTACACCACGTGGCGGCTGCCGGGCCGCACGCGCTCCGCCTCGTCCACGCCGCGGATGTACCCCCCCGGGGGGGCGAACGCCTCGCGCCCCTCACCCGCCTCCGCACCTTCCACCGGCCCTGCCACGCTATCGCTGCTGGCGCTGCTGCTGGCCGCGCACGCGGAGGAGCCGCGCAGGCGCCACCGCCAGGGCACGACGCGCACGCCGGGGATGGGGATGCGACGCGCTGACACACCGCGGCTGTTGCGCTGGGCGCATGAGTCGTGCAACTGCTGGAACCTTCGCCACTCCTTCCTCTCCGCGAACTCCAGCGCCCACGAGGCCGCGTTGCTGCCCGCGTCGGCGTCAGGGGGCCGCCACATGATGGCGCCCGTCACGCGGTTGCTGCTGCCCGTCGCCCCCGCCTGCTCCGGGCGGTACGAGAAGCGCGCATGGCCGCGCAGCAGCACGGCGAGCACGTGCGCGCTCGCCCCGCCCTCCTCGTCTCCGCCCACCACCCGCGCCTCCACGGCGGCCCCGCCCTCGCGCCACCCGCGGTCGCCCTGCACCACCAGCACGCTCGCCGCGCACACGCCACGCGGGCTACCTGACCGGTCCGACGTACACGTGGCAGCGTCGCACTCGTCGCCCAACCACAGCCCTGGCGGCTCGTCCACAAGGTGGCGGCGCTTTTTGCCCGCGGACGGGCCCGCCTTGTCTGGCGCGGGGGTGCCGTTCGCCCCAACGGCCAGTGGAGACCGCCACCCTCGCTTGCCCTTGCCCTTGCCCTTGCCCTTACCCTTACCCTTCCCTCGCCCCTTGCCTCTGCCCAACCCTTGACCCTGTTGCTTCTGCTGCTGCTGCTGCTGCTGCTGCTGCCGCTGTTGCTGTTGCTGTTGTTGATCCTGCTGCTCCTCCTCCTCCTTATCCTGATGCTGCTGCTGCCCTTGCCCCAGCCGGTGCTCCTGCTGTTGTTGATGTTGCTGTTGCTGCTGCTCCTGCCCCTGCTTCTGTTCCTGTTGCTGATCCAGCCCCTGTTGCTGCTGCTGCTGATCCTGACCCTGCCCCTGCTGCTGCTGTTGGTGTTGTTGTTGCTGCTGCTGCTGCTGCTCCTGTCCCTGTTCCTGCTCCGTTTGCTGCTGCTGCTGCTGCTGCTGCCGCCGCCGCCGCTGCTGCTGCGCCACCTGCTGTTGGTTTACTTGCTGCGGCTGATGGGCCTGCTGCAGCCACTTCAGCTGCTGCTGCTGAAGCGCCTGAAGCAGCTGTTGATCAGATGGGAGCCAATGCGGTGGTGCAGAGGGCAGAGCCGCTGCGTGCGCTCCGCCGTGCGATGTGGGCTCGCACCCGCCGACGGCGCCGCTCTGCACGCGGGGCTGCGACGGCGCGGACACGACGGCAGACGGACGAGGCAGCGCCGCAGATCGGGGCACCAGTGGCTGCTCGTTCTGTGCGGCGGGCAGCGGTTGAATTGCTTGCTGCTGCCGCAGCATGGGGGATGGCGGGAGCAGTAGAGGGGAGGGCGACTGACGGCCGGAGGGAAGAAAAAGAGTGGTTTTCCCATCCAGCAACGGCCCCTTCGCTGCCAACCCTGCCCCCTGCCTCGCGGCCGAAGGAATTGCTTCCGCCACAAGCGAGGGCTTCAGCCCCGACGGCCCGCAGGGATCTAATCGACTGCTGTCAGCCGTCCCTGTGGCGCCTGCCTGAGTCGCGTGAATCGACTGAGACGCGTTAGTCGTTTGATTCGTCTGCGTAATCTGAGTCGTGTGAGTCGTCTGAGACGCTTGAGTCGCTGAACGAGCGTGGCACGGCCAAGCGTGGTTGACAGTCAAACGACCGTTGGCCAGCCCCGACGCCAATAGCTGATGCGATAGCAGCGCCAGCTGCTGCCGACGCGCTAGATCTGCTCCCGATACCAACTGCTGCGACACGAGCGGTGAGGCCACAGGGGTTAGCTGGGCCACTACAGGGTCGGACCGTAAGCCTGATGCTTGCTGTGGGGCCTGTGGTTGGGAGGGAGGCATTTGCGGGTCGGCTCGTAAATGCCCGTTCTGATCTGACAGCCCCGACGAGCCTTGCTGCGAGACAAGCGGCTGCGACTGCTGGCGTGGAGGGTGAAGATGAGCCTTCCGCTGCTGATGCTCGTGCGACGGCGACGGCAACGCTCGATCCACCTCTACTCTTGGCTGCACCGCTCCGAACTGGCTCATACCTTCGGAATGACCTCGCTCTCCGTTTTCCTGTTCCACAAGCGAAAGCGCTGCATTTTCCTGAGGTGGGCGAAACGGAAACATACCAATCAGAGCGGCAGCAGCCCTACCGTCCACGCTCAGCATTTCAGCAGCATTGAGGTGGAAAACGCATGACTGCGCGCGTCAGGTGGATGATCACGGTGCCTGCATTTGAGCAATCAATAAAGGCATCTGTAATTGCCTCAGCAAACCTCCTCCCATACTTCAAATCAATTCCGCGTTATGCAATTTTCAAGGCGAGCGAAAGAAGATCTTGATTTTCCTAGGCAGGCAGGAAGTTTGAAACCCTCGTTCCGCTTCCACCTCCATCCTTCCGCCTACATTCTCCTGTCTTCCCCGTCATCCTCTTCCAACTTTCCGCCTCTCACCCTCAAGTTTCCGCCTTCTCCTTCCCTAGAATTCATAAGGGCGTGTGCACGGCGAAAATTTTCAAAGTTCGAACATTTACCGCTTTGAACCGTGGCGAAACGTCTCTTACTAGTATCTTACCGAGTAGAACCTCGCTAAAAGTTCGAACTTCAACAGAAGTTCGACCCCTAGTGCACATGCCCTAACGACCTCGAGGCGGAAAGCGCTAGAAAACGCGGAAAGGATCTCCTAGACTCCGCCCATCGACCTAGGTTCTGCCTGGCAAAATCTTTGCGAAGGTTTCACATCTGCCCATTCGCCGTAGATCTGGCCTAGATTGAGGCCTTGCGCGGGTGAATCCGCCGCTGTCGAAATGCCGCAAGCCGAGTTACCAGCTTGCTGACCGACTTTGAAAGAGATCGTCACAAGGATGCGTGTTGTTATGAGTTGTAAAAGAGAGTGCGCAGGTAAACGAATAACGAAGCTGTGACTGAATGCACTGCGAATACAAAGAATGTCCAGACTAATATAGAACTTCGCTAGCTAGGAGAGAACCTCGGACGAGCGAGGTTGGGTGCAGGTTTGGCGATGAGAAAGCTGAAGGCGACGCGAGGAGCCTCGGCAGCGTTGAAATCGGCCGAACGTGCGAACTCCGAAAATCGGGTTGTACGCGAAGCAGTCAACCCCGATAAGGAATTCGGGAAAATTCCTTACACCTGTTGGGCTGAAAAGGCCCTTAGGATCTTTGCAGGGGATGACTCTTGGGTAGAAACTTGTAATAGCGGAAGCGTTCTAATGAGGATTGTGAACCGACCTTGCACTGGTGTGTGAGAGCAAAGTAGATTGAGATTAAACAAGCAAGTACAAGAGTTTTATAAGAGTACAGGGAATACGAATAGATAGATAACTGTATTGCTGTTGCGGTTCGATATAGTGCGACTCGGGAAACTGCTCTGTAACGAGTCAGTTGTGTGTCCTTAACTGTCGCGCTGTAATTGTCGAGTCAAAGGTCGCTGACCTTTGACTTTCTCGTAACCTCCAGGCGGTTACTCTAACCTCCGAGGTTGACTCGATGCTTCGATTGGGACTACTTCGCTTGGTGCCTTGGATTTTGGCACGACAGAAGCGCACTTAAGACTTATTGTTTCCAACACTCCCCTTCGCTTCTGGAGTGTCGCTGCTGGTGACGTGGCCTTGTCCAGTCAGCAGCATGCAATATTCGAACTTCTGCTTCCCGAGTTTCTTGGTCAAGTAATCGGCTGCCATCTCAGACGTGGGACAGTATGACAGATCGAGTTTCCCCTTTTCGATCTCGTCCTTCACGAAGAAATAGCGCAGGGCGATGTGTTTCGTCCTGTTTGCGAAGCCGTTCTTGTTGGCGATGCGAATTGCCGACTGGTTGTCGCAGAACACGGTGAAGCTAGGTAACTCGGCTAGCTTCGCTTCTTCCAGTAGTTCGCGAAGGTAAAGTCCCTCCTTGGTGGCTGAGCAGAGTGCAATATATTCTGCTTCTGCTGAAGACAATGCGATTAACTCCTGCTTACTCGACTGCCAGGAGATAGGACCGATAGGTTCAAGACGGTAGACATAGCCGGTGCGTGAGCGCCTGTTATCGGTGTCGCCGGCGTGATCGGCATCGACGTAGCCGATTAGCTTGGTTGACGTAGTTACGCTTTTGTGATAAGTTAGTCCGATCGTCGCGGTACTGACGAAGTAGTGGAGAGCACGATCGAGTTCCGCCAGATGCTCTGCTTCAGGCCTCTTGAGATAGGTGGCAAGCTGGCTCGCGGAGTAGGGTAGATCAGGACGGCATGTGACTGCTGCGAAGAGGAGACATCCGAGTTTCTTCTGATAGTTGCGTATGCCGGTGGGCTTGAGTAGAGTAGATTGCCCCTTTTCGGTTCCTGACGTGTAGCGGTAAGGCGTGGAGATGGCGCTTGGTGTGAGGCCGAAGCGTTTCGCGATAGTATCGGCGTATTTTTCGGCGCTTAGATAAATTGCGTTTTCTTCTTCGCGGATGTTGAGCCCGAGGTACTGCGTAACCGTGGAGGAGACCGTGAGCATGAGGTCATTCTGAAGCTCCCCTTCGAACCACGTGGCGATGCTGTCGGTCGACCCGATGTAGAGAAGATCGTCCACGTAGACGATTAGTAGGACGTAGTCACTTTCTTTTGTGAGGCGATACATTCCTTGGTCATGCGGAAGTTGTTTGAAGCCGATGCGAATGAGGCGGGCGTGTAGGTACTGCTGCCACAGTCGTGGTGCCTGCTTGATCCCATAGAGTGACTTGAGTAGTTGACACACTCGGTTGGGTTCGCCGTGGGAGCCGTGTGGGAGTTCGACGAAAATTTCTGCATCCACAGGTGCGTAGAGAAATGCGTTCGCAACGTCGATTTGTCGCAATCTCTTTTTCTTCATGGCGGCGACGGCGATGAGAATTCGGAGTGAGGTGTGACGACTGACCGGAGCGAAGGTTTCGGTGTAGTCTCTTCCGTGTTCTTGGTCGAAGCCACGTACGACCCAGCGGGCTTTGAATTTGTCGATGGTGCCATCAGCTTTCGTCTTCACACGGAAGACCCATTTCCCGGTAAGGATAGTCTTGTTTTGTGCTACGCCGATGGGAACGATTTTCCAGGTGTTGCGCTCCTCCAGTGCCTTCAGTTCTTTGTCCATGGCTTCACGCCATTTCTCCCTGTGTTCCCCCCCTCAGAGCCTGCTGAACTGTCGCAGGCTCCTTAGGAATGCCGGCGCCATGGACTGCGGTGACGAGACCAAGGATTTGCAGCCCAGTCTGTGAGTATCGAGGGAGTTCTGGATCCTCGGGATAAGCTGCTTCGTCTCCTGCTTCTGGGTCGGGTATGAAATTTGGCCCTACCCTTTCTACTTCGTTGGTGTTGGCTGTTGCAGGTGTTACGTAACCGGTGTCGGCGAAGTGATAGAAGACTTCGGCGTTGTTACTTTCGCGGGGATTATCCTCATCCATGGGCACGTCGACGGAGTAGTATGGGAGAGGTCCGGCTTCCTCCGAGGCGTTGTCGACGTTCTGTTCATCCCAGTCCGCTTCGTCCGCTGCTGAGGCGAAGGCTCGGTCACCACGAAAGCCACCTGTGGGGTCCTGATTCTCGTGCAAGTTGGCGAGGTACGTCTGAAGTGTGAGTCTTTCGTAGAAGATCACGTCACGTGCTGCCACTGTTTCCTTTGTGTGGACGTCGAAGATTCTCCATGCGTTGTAATTTTTCTCGATGCCGAGGTGTAGTCCCCACTGTGCCCGTTGCGAAAATCTTCCCGCTCGTGCTTCTGGGGGCCTGTACTGTACCATGCACCCGAAAACTCGTAACATTTTTGTGCTGCCCTGCCTCCCTGTCCACAGCAGATGTGGTGACGCGTTGTTCGGGAGTGACGACGACGAAAGCAGGTTGTGCAGCATGACAGCGTGGTCCATTGCTGCAGGCCACTGGTGGTTGGGAAGTCGCATGCCACGCAACAGCTTGCGCATGCTGTTCTGCAGAGTCCTGTTCATCCGTTCTGCAACGCCTTGCTGCTGATGGGCGTAGGGAAGGGAAAGGAGTTGCTTGATTCCCCGTTCCGCCAGGTACTGCTTGAAGCGCTGAGAGGTATACTCTCCTCCTCCGTCTGACTGAAAGCTTTTTAGTTTAGCTCCCGATTCTCTCTCTGCTACCGGTAGCCAGGCTGCGAAGGCTGCGAGTGTCATGTCGCGGCTGGGTAGGTTACGATGCCAGACGTATCGAGTGGCGGCGTCGATGAAGGTGATGGTGTAGTTGTAGGTGACTTGTCCTGGTTCACGATTGTAGAGTAGGTCGCTGTAGACCTTTTCGAGTGGTGCGTATGCTGGAGCGCTCGGGTTGTGATGTGGAGTAAACGGTCGATGAGGTAAGTCAGCTTCGGGACATATGAGACAAGTCCTTCGTGCCTTCTGGAGTTCTCTGCCGTCGGGTAGAAGTAGAGAGTCTTTGTCAAGGACTCCTGCTCTTATTGTGTTATTCAAAACCGTGTTGCTTGGATGTCCTGTGCGTGCATGCCAGATCTCTTCAGAGGCGCGGTGTCCGGGTGAACGCTGATATGCTTCGGAGTTGGAGTAAAAGCTGGCGACGAGGTTGGCGCTTCGGTGGACTTCACGTTGAGTCGGATTCAGCTGTTGCGCGGGTGTTGGTGGTGCTTCGTCGACTGTGACTGGTGTCGTTGTTCCTGCTGCTGCTGATGTTGTTGCTGCTGCCGATGTTGTTGCTGCTGCCGATGTTGTTGTCTCTGCTTCTTGTTGAATCGTTGCTAACGCTCTAGTTCGTTCTGCTTCAGGAATGGTGTGGGAGTACCAGAAGCCTCCCTGGCTGAAGTCGGGGTCGAGATCCGGCGGATGCGTCCAATCTGCGAAGTTGACGATAGCATCGCTGTCGGCAGTGCCTAAGTCGGGAACGAAGTCGAGGACGAAAACATTATTCTTCAACACCGCCTTTCCGATGTAGAGACCGCCTCTCCCGTGGTAAAGCTTGAACTCCTGGGTTGTGCTGTCGGCTTCCAAGTGTATTCCTTTGGCCATCAATTGGCTGACACTCAGTAAGTTGTAGCCTAGTCCCTCCGCGATGAGCACTTTT